GCCTGATCCAAGTCATGGTGTTTTCAATAACCTCATATGCATGCAAAAGCTGGACAATGAATAAGGAAGACCATAGAAGAATTGATGCAATTGAGTTATGTTGTTGGAGGAGAATATTGAAAGTGCCATGGGCTGCCAAAAGAACCAATAGATCTGTTTTGGAAGAAGTGCAGCCAGAGTGCTACTTGGAGGTCAAGATGGCCAAATTTCCTCTGTCATACTTTGGACATATTTTTAGGAGAGACCAGTCACTGGAGAAGGATATCATGTTTGGTAAAGTGGAGGGTCCGCGACAAAGAGGAAGACCCCCAAAGGTTGGCCGAGGATTGGGCAGTGTTTCCTTCTGCTGTGCATAAGGTTGCAATGGTCGGTACCAACTGGATGGCACCTAGCAACATGAATGTATATAATTTTAAGATTCCCACAATGGTTTACATTACATAAAGAGAAAAGTAAACGACCTAGTATTTTACCTTTTTTCTGGATCTTTCTGAAGGCAAAGAGAAATCATTTTTCTAAATGATTTCCCATATTTTTTCAGCATTTCTTTATCTTGAACACCAGTTTCCAAAGAAGGAGGATCATTCTGCAGTGTCAGCATTAAAACCTGTAAGAATTTTTAACATAATATTAACATCTACAGGACCAGTAATGTTTAAATATGTGACCAAGCTATTTTTAATATAGGCATCCCTGACACACAAGCAGATTTTATTTAATACTTCACATTTAGATTAGGTGTTTGGACGCAGAGAACTATGTATGTGTTCTCCACAGAGATTATATGCTACACATGGCTGACTCCCAGACAGGTCTAGTGGATCACCGCTGCCATTTCCTTTCTTTAGAATCCTTTGCTTCTTCAAGTCCTCCATTCCCTATTCTTATATGGCCAAACTACCTTTAAAAAAATATGAAAGTCATGACAAAATTTAGAGCGTGACCTTCTTGGCTTTAATCTCTTCGTGGCCCTGTTGCTCTTTGATACTTTTAATAATCTAGCCATCGCTTCCTAGAATATGTCAACCTTCTCTCACATAAATCACAAAAATGTCGTAGATAATGAAGCTATAGTCCTTTCTCTCCCACTCTAACTCTTCTAAACCTAAACATTGCCAAAGAGTTCTACAATTTAATCCTCATCTCTCTATTATGATGATCTCCAAATCTATGCATTTTACTCTGTCTTGGATAAAGCAGACAACCGCAAGGTCGGTGCTTCAAACTTATCAGCGGCTCCTAGGAAACCCTATGTTGTTGTTGTTAAGTGCCGTCGAGTCAGTTCCGACCCATAGCGACCCTGTACAGGGTTTCCGAGGGTGTAAATCCTTACGGGAGTAGAAAGCCTCATCTTTCTCCCGCGGAGCAGCTGGTAGTTTCGAACCGCTGACCTTAAGGTTCGCAGCCCGATTCGTAACCACTACGCTACCAGAGCTCCTTAGGAAACCCTATACAGGGTCACTATTGAGTCGGAACAACAATATGAGATATTAGCACCTGAATATACTGCTGGCAAATTAATCAAGTCCCAAACCAAACTCATAATTACATTATTTTTCAAATTTGCTTCTTTTCTCACTTCTTATTTTCATTCTCCCAAATAGTACTGACTGGTATGGCAAGTCCACTGGTTGCCAACTCATTCAAACAGTCATCCAATAATCAACTACTCAGTATCTACTATGTAGTCAGCCCTGTCCTAAAGACTGACAATACAGACTCGAAAGAGGAAATGGGTCTTTCAATCATGAAGACGACTTAGGGAGGAGAGGATCCTAGACAGATCCAGATGAGGCACATTTTTGGTATTTAAATGGATTTAATGTTCACTTCTAGAATCCTGGTGTAGCACTGTAGGATAAGCACTGGACTGCAAGATCAGCTGTCCAAACTTACCAGCTGCTTCATGGAAACCCCATACAGGGTCCCAAGAGTTGGAACAAACTCTACCACACTTAACAACAACTGTTTATTTCTAGTCCGTTTATCTTGAAACAAAGAAAATTCCTGGATTAAATAAAAATTAAATAGGTCGTCAGAAAATTTGTTGTTGCTGTTAAATGCATTAAGTCGGTTCCGACTCACAGTGACGTTGCATTGGGTTTCTGAGGAGCAGCTGGTGAACCTGAAACACTGACCTTACATTTGAAACCAACCTTTCTGCCCAGTACTTTATTCTACAACGCCACTTCAGGACTCCAGCATCAGTTAGATCCGGTGTTTCATTTACCCTGTGTGTATGCTAAGGAATGATCCTAACAAAGTGAGTAAAAACACCAAATCCTTCATAAGAGGAGCCATGATAAAAGGACAAGAAGTGATCAGTAAATCCAATTAAATATAAAGAACTAAGAGTAAACAAATAAGAAAACTGTGGTTGCATAACAGAAAGTAATGCTATATACCCTGCCAAAGACCATAAAACCAAACCAAGCCAAAACAATTGCCATTAAATAGATTCCAACTCATAGAGGCAATAAATAGGGTTTTTGATACTGTGTATCTTTGAAGAAGCAGACAGCTTCATCTTCCTCCCAAGGAGCGGCTATATACCCTTGTGATTACTGTTGTTGTTGTTGTTACCATCCAGTCAATTCTGACTCATAATGACTCTGCTATACAGAGTTTTCAAAACTGTAAATCTCTGCGGAAGCAGAAAGTCTCATCTTTCTCCCAAGACCTTGTAGTTGGCAGCCCAAGATGTATCCCACAGTGCTACCAGGACTCCTACTCCTTAAAGATTATGTTGTTGTTGTTGTTGTCATGTGCCACTGAATCAGTTCCAACTCATAGCAGCTGGAGACTCTAGACCCAGAGAGGGAGAGCGACTGTGTGCTGAAGACCTGGGGGGCACGGGGAAAGGATTGCATGGAGGGGATTGTAACCATTGCAATGACACGATATATGATAGAATGAATGTAAAACTAATGCTCTCCCATGTAAACTATCACATAATTCACACACACACACAAAACATCATTACTGGTAATGAATACATAAGACATGGATTCATCACTACGAGCATGACAGTAAACGGTAGGGTATAGAATGGAAACATCCTCAAACACCAACCAAGAAAAAGTTCAAAAGTCAACCATCAGCTGGAAAATTGATGCTTACAGTTTTCTGTAAGCCAAGGGCCAGTATTGAAACATTACAGGAAAAGAACTCAGGAATCAATAATGCTCATTACAGTGAGGTACTCACTGAAGAGCAGAAGCCTAAACTTGGGATTAAATGCAGGATTGCTATCCAAGGGTGTTACAATCTTGCATGATAATGCATGTCCACACACCTCTGCCCACGCAGGTGAAAAGATTTCATTTTGAAGTGTTAAAGCATCCTCCCTATAGTACTGATCTTGTTCCAACAGACTTTCACCTATTTGTTCCCCAGAAAGCAGACTTTAGAGAATGAAGATCAACCTCTGATGAAGTGAAGACCTCGGTGCCTTCGTGGTTTGCAGTTCAGCCTAAATCATGTTTTAGTAAGGGAACCTGAGAACTCATTGACAGATGGACAAAGTGTATTTAAAGCAAGGAAATTATGTCCAAAAATTATGTATTTGTCTTTTCTAAAAGTTGATTAAAATAAATTCTGCAACCACAGTGAGGATAATTTTTGACTCATTCTCACAGCTAAGGAAATTGTTTGGAGATAGGAATGGGAAATGAAAAGAAAGGACAATGGTAGGAATTTAAGATTATTTCAAAGTTAATTTTAATCTGAATTCTTAATTTTTGTAGTACCTCAACTGTTGATTTCAACCTTTATTTATGTGTATCCTGAGTCCATACCATGGGCCAGTATCTGGATTCAATGTTTAAATAAATGACTGAACCATTAAAAAAAAAAGAATCAGGCTGTCAACCTCAAGGTCAGCAGTTTGAAACTACCAGCGGTTCAATGGAAGAAAGAAGAGGCTTTCTGCTCCTGTAAAGATTTACAACCTGAAAAACCCTGTGCAGGGTAGGGTCACTATGAGTTGGAACTAACTCCATGGTACTTAACAACAACGTCAACCCAACACTAAAAAATAAAAGAGGACTATAACCAGCGTTGGAGTCCTGGGATGACGCCATAGGGTAAGCACGCTACCTCACAATTGATTTGAACTGCAACATTAGTGGTTCAAACTCATGAGCTACTCCTTGGAAACGCTATACAGAGTTGCTATGAGTCGGAATCAACTTGACGGCACTTAACAACAAGAGTGACTACCTGTCATATTCAGTTTATAGTTACTGAAATGCATGTCTGGCTACAACTCTGGGAGTTAATAACCTACAGTGGATGAAAAAAACTAACCTTACCCTACACCCTGTACAGGGTCACTATGAGACGGAATTGACTTCATGGCACACAACCACCACCACCACCACCACCACATCCCCTTTAAAAAATATTTCTTTGCCTTGATAACAGTCTCCAAGCATACATTTACAAAGACACATTCTTTTCAAAACCTTGTGACTATTCATTTATTTCTGTGAGTCTTCAACCTCTAGGCAGAGCATGACCTTAATATATTACTAACCTTCCAATAAACAAAATTTTCTCCATCAATTACACCAATAAATATAGGTATGCCCATGTTTTGAATATGGAGATATGAAAAGTCTTTCATAGTATCTTTGTGCTGGTTTCATCCCTCTCTATCTTAGACTCCTGGTGTGGTACTACAGGATAGGCACTAATCTGCAAACCGTAAGGTTGGAGGTTCAAACCCACCAGCTGCAACTCGGAAACCCTATACAAAATAGACTCAACAGCACTGAACAACAACAAATACTATTAGAACCTTAACAAAAAGAATGCTATTGTTGTTCACAGAGACCTTATGTACAACAGAATACAACACTGCCTGGTCGGTCCCACGCCAACCTCAGAACTGATGCTATGCTTGAGCCCATTGCTGCTGTCACTGTGCTTATCAATCTTGCTGGAGGGGAGAGGGGAGAAGTCTTCCTCATTTTCACTGACCCTTCACTTCACCAAGCATGATGTTCTTCTCCAGGGACTGGTCTTTCCTGACAGTACGTCCTAAGTATGAGAGAAAACTGGCCATTCTGGCTTCTAAGGAGCATCTGGCTATACTTCCACCAACACAGATTTGTTTGTTCTTTTGGCAGTCCATGGTAGTTTCACTATTCTCCTTCAACACTATAACTCAAATGTTATCAATTCTTGTACGGTCTTCTTTATTCACTGTCCAACATGATTGAAAATACCATGGTTTATTTAGGTCAAGCACACATTCCTCTTCAAACTGACATCTTTGCTCTTGAACACTTTAAAGGACAGCTTCTTTTAAACTTTCTAAAGTACATCATGACACATAACAACAATCACAACAAAGTGTATCAAGATCATGTGATGAAAACCACAACAAAAAGATGTTTTTTAAAAAAGTCACAACAGATAGGTGTCACTACTTTAAGTAATGTCACCGGGCACAAATTGTGAAGCAGGTAAGCAAAGCCATAGAAAACAGATTCCGCCACAAACAGAATAAAATTCATGTGCGCATTATAACTAAAGGGCTGGACAAAGTCATTAAAATGGTTTCCAACAATACTGTCAACACATGCTAGACATACAAAAATGCATTCTCTTACTAATGTTGGGAAATGGTTCACAACTATGCTTTGGTTAACTACATCACAGTTACTACACACTAACCCCATGTGTTAGAGTAGACCTGGGCTTCACAGAGTTTTCCAATAGCTGTGACCTTTTGGAAGTAGAATACCAGACTTTCTTCTAAGGTACCTCTAAGCGAGTTGAAACCACCAACCGTTTTTAGTTAGTAGCCATGTACTTAACCATATGTACCACTCAGGGACTCCATAATAATAGGATTTATAATAAAAGTTACTACAATGCTAACTTTTATTTGATTAATAATAGAATAATATATGTGTCTGGCACATCAATGCTGTACATGGGTTATCTTACTTAATGTATGAAAAGCACTTAAATCACTTTCTGGCATTAAAAAGAGGCAAACATTTAATAAATGTGTTAGTTCAAACTCACCAGCAGCTCCTTGGAAACCAGATACAGGCTCACTATAAGTAAGAACTGACTTTAGTAGCACTTAACAACGTCATTATAATTACCAATAATAATTACTCCTCTCAGCAAGCTTATGAAGTACAAATGGTCACCATCTCCCCTAAAGCTACTCAGCACAGGGGACTATGGGGAACATACATAAAAATCACACATTGGTTCCTAACATCAAACTAGTTAAAGAGTCAGAAATAAAGGCCATGCCAATAAAAAGGCCAACGACATCTAGGCGCTGTGGGTTAATGCACCCGACTGCAAAGTTGTTTGAACTGCAAGGTCGGTGGTTCAAGCTCACCAGCTGCTCCTCGGAAACCCTATACAGGGTTGCTATGGATTGGAATTGATTCAATGGAACTTCACAACAACAAAAACATCTAATGTGGACTTTAACTGCTACCAGCGTTAAGAGGAATGCAGAATCACTACTGTCAAGAGTGGAAATGAACAAGGCTCTGAAAAGGAGTAACCTGGAGCAGTATTTTGAATATGAGCCTCACCTTCATTGGAGGATACTTATGATATGGAGCTGCCCCTGTGGCCAGTTCAATTGCTGTGATACCAAAACTCCAGATGTCAGCTTTGAAATCATAGCCTCGGACCTGCAAAAAGCAGAGGTGCATATGCTTACTTTTAACAGCTTAAAAACACTTTTGAAAAGTAGTTTCTAATACCTATTTACGAACCATGAAAATGTACAAATTTTAAACCAACAGAATAATCAAAAAGCAAAACATGAAAATATTTGTTGTTAGGTGCTATTGAGCTGGTTCTGACTCATAGTGACCCTGTATAGGGTTTTCAAGGAGTAGGTGATGGGTTTGAACTGCCAACCTTGCAGATACCAGTCCTGTGCTTATTCTACAATGCCACATCAGGACTACAAAATACTAGGTTATAAAAAAAAAAACAAACAAAGGAGGCAATCTCAATGTTTATCAACAGTGGGAATGGTTAAGTATGCTATACTCACTTACAGGATTAGTATATAATTAATCAAAAGCAATGTTTATCAAGTCTATAAAAATATGGAAAATACAGAAAAGCTTTAGATAAAATACTTATGAAGAAAAAAAAGATGAACTTGTGCCACAAACAGGTATATAAACTAAGGGAGTCCTGATGTGGCGCTGTAGGGTAAGCACTGGACTGTTAACTGCAAGATGAACAGTTCGAATCCACCAGAAATTCGCCAAAAATCTATACAGGGTCGCTAGGAGTCAGAACCAACTGGACTCAACTTTACTCGATTTAACAGGTATCCTGGTATCGCACTGTAGGATAAAAACTGGACTGCTAACTATAAGGTCAGCGGTTTAAACCCACCAGCTGCTGCTCTTAGAAACCCTATATAGTGTTTTTATGAATCAGAACCAACTTGATGGCACTTAATAACATATAAACAAAAATGCCCAAAGACCTCACTGCCAATTTGACCCCAATAGCAACCTTTTTGGGTATGAAGTGGATCGCTCCCATAAGATTACCAAGGCTGTCATATTTACAGAAGCAGATTGACAAATGTGTCTTCTGCACAGTGACTGGTGGGTTCAATCTGACAGCCTTTCAGTTAACAGCCATCTGCTTTAACCTCTGCACCAACAGGAATTTAAACAAGTATGCACTCTATTAAAAGCAACAACTAGAAAGAACTAGATAGAAAACTTTTTTTACCAATGGTAGCAAACTCCCCACCCCCAGCCACAAATATTCTATACTATGTTGTTGCTTTATTACCTTTTATTAAGGAAAAAAGTTACAAAAGAGGTAGCTTCTTAAGAGAATTTAAAATGATAATGAAAATAAATCAAACCAAAAGAAGAAATGAAATTTGCTTAAGCCCTTTTCAACACTACTTAAAACTTAATGAGAGAATTAAATGGTGGTAAAGATCTCTTTCAATAAAATCAGTAAGCTTTATAGTCATTGTTGTTGAAAGTGCTGTCAAGCTGGTTCCGACCCATAACGACCCTGTATAGGGTTTCTAAGGAGCTGCTGGTGAGCTTGAACTGCCAACCTTGTGGTTCAAACTGACCTTCTGGTCTAGTACATTAACCCACAGTGACACACGATAGCCTCATCTTTCTCCCATGGAACGGTTAGATGGTTTGAACCACTGACCTTGTGGTTAACAGCCCAATGCTTAATTCATTGAGCCATCAGGGTTCCTTAAACTGAGCAATTGTTATTATTGTTAAGTGCCATCCAGTCTGTTCCAACCCACATTGACCCTGTTAGGGTTTCTGAGGAGCAGATGGTGAGTCTGAACCACCAAAGCTGCGGTTCAAACCGAACTTGCAGTTCAAATCAACGTTGAGATAGTTTAACTTAATTAGTAAAAAGGGGACTTAAATCTGCCTTAAGAACTATCCATATGGGACTCCTGGTATCACCCTGTAGGATCTGCATGGGACAGCAAACCACCAAGTCAGCATTTCAAATCCACCTGCTGCTCCTTGGAAACTCTATATAGGATTTTTATGAATTGAAACCAAGTCCACGGCACTTAATAATACATATGGGATTAAGTGGACAATAGCAATTCGGTACATTTTTGCTGTGTATGCATTTATTCTCAACAACAACAAAATGCAATTTAAAGAAATCCTGATGGAGAACAATTCTATACAGACACAAAGATTTGCCATAAAAAAAAAAAAAAGAAAGAAAGAAAACACCTTCTTCTACAACTCTCAGGAAAAAACTCCATCTGCAACCCTTTCCTGACTCAAGACAGGCTCCTATCAGCTACAGGGCAATGGGATTATAGTGATGCTACATTGTGGGGATGGCAATCAATGGCATAAAACAAAATATTCATGAATTGAATAGAAAACTGATCTCTGTAAACCTTCACCCAATTCACAAAATAAAGAAAAAAAAAGGAAAAGGAAAAGAAACAACATTGAAGTTATTTATATGAAAGGTTGTCTTTCAAATAAAGCTTTAGTATCATGTTTTGTATAGAGTTCTAAAATTTATTTGATTCAAAGATGGATTAAAGTTTTAATCAAGAAACAGAGAGGTGCACTCTCCAAAGATAACATGGTATCTAACCAAGAACCAACACTGCTCAATCTTTTCATTTTTGAAACAAACACAAAACTACTTAATAAAAACAAGACACAGTACCTGTTCCATAACTTCCGGTGCCATCCAGCAAGGGGTGCCCACAAAGGTCTTTCTTACTTTATTTCGTGTAATATCACCACCGGTAGCTAAAAAAGCACTAACGCCAAAGTCTGAAATAAAAAAATAAAATAAAATAGTATAGTCACTACTCATAAACAGAAAACATAATACAGGCAAAGTCCTATACACCTACTGCCTACTTATCCACTATCTTGCTAGCGGATCTTCACCATTACAGTAAGGATGAAAATGAAAAGTCTAACATCCATTTTGCACATGAACGCAGCTGAAGTCATGGCGGCAGTTATCTGCTGCAGTGTCCCCTCCCTTGAGGAGGGTGTTGGGGTAGTCTCTAGGAAGCTAGGTCATGCTGCTGCGCCTTCCACTCCCTCCTGCCTGCAGGGGACACCAGGTATAGCAGTCATTCTGGGCTGGCAGCCTCTGGAGCCATTGTATCTGGGTGGACACACAGGCTGCACTGAGTCAGCGGGTACCTGGTCTGTGTTCTCAGTTCATACGTGGCCTGAGACCCAGCAGCTCAAAGTACTGTGGAGTGGGAAAGAAAGAAAGGGGCACTGAAGGGGTTACTTGCAGAAATGCATGCAAATTTAATGACATCCCCAAGTGAGCTGAACTGGGTCTGAAACTTCTGCCTTGGTAGGGGGCAAGGTGTGAGGCACAGCTCCCAAGTGCCTACCATGACCACCCAAGCCCCAGCGACTTGCTGGGCCTGGAGAGTATGCTCTTGAATTATGAATGCAGGGCTTGCTGCCGTGGGAGTGGAGCTCTTGAGGTGGTTCCATAAGGGAAGCTCTGACCCAGAAATCGTTAAGTCATGGGCCCTTCAGTCACACAGCCCAGCTTTAGCTAGAGGAATAATCCATAAGCTGACTTGTCACAATGACATAATACATTAAGTAAAGCTTTTGTTGTTGTTGTTAGGTGCCATTGAGTCAGTACCAACCCATAACGACCTTATGCACAGCAGAACGAAACACAACCCAACCCTGGGCCAACCTCACTTGACAGCTATCTGGCCGATTGATTGGAAGACATGCATATTTGCCACGCTTGAGTCCATCGATGCTGTTACTTGGCCAATCCATCTCGTTGGGAGTCTTCCTCTTTTTCTCTGAACCTCCACCTTCCCAAACATAATATCCTTCTTCAGTGACTAGTCCTGACAATGCACCCAAAGTAAGAGAGACAAAGTTTGGCCATCTTGGCCTCCAAGGAGCACTCTGGCTGCACGTCTTCCAACACACATCTGTCGGTTCTTTTGGCAGCCCATGGCACTTTCAATACTCTCCTTCCAACACCGTTTAACTCAAAAGCACGATGGTCTTCCTTATTCACTGTCCAGCTTTCGCATCCATATGAGGTTATTGAAAATACCATGGCTTGGGTCAGGCGCACCTTAGTCCTCAAGCTGATATCTTTGCTCTTCAACACTTTAAAAAGGTCTAGTGCAGCAGATTTGCTTAATGCAATATATTGTTTGGTTTCTTGACTGCTGCTTCCGTGAGTGTTAACAGTTGATCCAAGAAGAATGAAGTCCTTGACGTCAATCTTTTCTCTGTTAAGAATGTTGTTTATTGGTCCAATGGTGAGGATTTTTGTTTTCTTTACACTGAGATGTAATACATACCAAAGGCTGTGCTCTTCGATCTTCAGCAGTAAATGTTTTAAGTCCTCTTCACTTTCAGCAAGCAAGGTTGTATTATCTGCATATCACAGGTTGTTAATGCGTTTTGCTCCAATCCTGATGTCACGTTTTTCTTCATAGAACCCAGCTTCTTGGATGATTTGCTCAGCATACAGGTTGAGTAAGTATGGTGAAAGAATACAATCTTGTCACACACCTTCCTTAATTTTAAAACATTCAGTGTTCCCATGTTCTGTTCAAACAACTGCCTCTTGGTCCAGGTACAAATTCCTCATGAGCACAATTAAGTGTTCTGGAATACTCATACTTTGCAATGTTGTCCATAGCCTGTCATGATCCACACAATTGAAAGCCTTTGTGTAGTCAATAAAGCACAAGTAAACATCTTTCTGATATTCTCTGCTTTCAGCCAAGATCCATCAGACATCAGCAATGATATCCCTCATACCACGGCCTCTTCTGAATCTGACTTGAACTTTTGGAAGTTCTCTATCAATGTATGATTGTAGCCATTTCTGTATTACCTTTAGCAAAACTTTACTCGCATGGGATATCAAAGAGATTGTCCGATAATTTCCTCATACTGTTGGGTCACCTCTCTTTGGAATGGGCACAAATATGCATCTCTTCCAATCAGTCGGCCAGATAGCTGTCAAGTAAAGCTTAGCTGTGGTTCTTTCTATACTATTTTCTAAATTTAAAAAATCAGCTAATGTATGGTCTCAAAAGGAAGTTTGGAGGTGGGGGTGGGGGTGGCAATTTTTATAACATGGCCTGGCCGTTTGAAACCTAAGCATGTCAGTAAGTGAGGACTGGTGGTGGTGATGGCTGTGTACCATCAAGTTGGTTCTGAGTCAGCAAACCTGTATATGATTTCCAAACCTATGGAATCTCTACAGGAGCACAAAGTCGCATCTTTCTCCAGAGAAGCGACTGGAAGATCTGAACTGCTGACCTTGTGGTTAGCAGCCCAGCTCGTAATCCACCATCCTAACAAGGCTCTTAAGTGAGGAGCTGTTGTTAAGTGAAGTTAAGTTGGTTGCAACTCACAGACACACTGTTTCTGAGTAGCAGCTGGTGGGTTCAAACTGCAGATCTTGTGGTTCAAAATCCACTGTTGATCCTATGACACTACAGCAGGAGAAGTGATAGTTGGTGGTTACGTGCTGTGGAGTCACCAAGAGGAGTAGGTATACACAAATAAGATAAGCAGCTTGACATTTTCTCTGCGTTCTGAACTTTTTCACTTAATTAAGGCATAGTTTAGTAAGTCTCACTCCATTCCTCTCCACCTCTACAAATCATTATCTCCACAGATTTTCCTCCTTGCTGCAATCCATAATACATACCACTACCTGATTTAAAGTACATTTAAAGTACATGTAGGACTTCAGACAACCACTGCGGTTTCCCAGTAAAGTCTGTTCTGTCCTAGGAATCGGGTTCACAACCAACCCTTCCCATCACCTCAAATAAATCTTCTTATGGTATTACTCAAGGAGCTCTGGTAGCGTAGTGGTTACGAATCGGGCTGTGAACCTTAAGGTCAGCGGTTCGAAACTACCAGCCGCTCCGCGGGAGAAAGATGAGGCTTTCTACTCCCGTAAAGATTTACACCCTCGGAAACCCTGTACAGGGTCGCTATGGGTCGGACCCGACTCGATGGCACTTAACAACAACAACAACAACCTGATTTAAGGAGTCCTGGGGTAGTGTTATAGGATAACCACTGGAACCCAAGGTCGGCAGTTCAAAACCACCAGCTGCTCCTTGGAAACCCTTATACAGGGTTCACTATGAGTAAGAACTGACTCCACGGCACTTAACAACAACCAGATTTAAACACACAAACAAGTAAAAAATTATCGGTACTCTGATTATATTAAAACGCTTGTCCATGTGTACCGCTGATGACAACATTGAGCATGCACGTGAAATGATTCTGTCAAACAGATGAGTGACACCAAATTATGTGGCAAATCAGCCCTGACTCTGTCTATGAAATAATCTAAGGCAGACCTGGGTTTCAAAAGTTTGGAAGAAGGGTAGATAGGGATGGGCAACTTAGACATTGGCTACCTAAAATGAGGGGGTGATAAAGGCATGAAGTGACTGGCTTACAAGTTTTCAAGACGATGTTTAGTTTAACAGTATGTGGGGGAAGGTAGGTCCCCATTCAACAGTTTTTATCTTGGCTAGATGGGTCTGGTGAAAAGAGATGGGGATAAGATTATGATGCAATAGTGAGCAACTGTTATCATGACTAACTGAGACTGTCACAACCGTAAAGGTAGCCGTTTTGTAACAAAGATGGGGGAGTAATTAATCTTATAGCCCAAAAACAGAGGACCCTAGGACGACCATCAAGGAAGAAGAGCACAAGCGGAATGCGGGACCCCATCCAGAGAAGCAGCAACACCAGAGGTGGAGGCAGAGATGAGGACATGGTGAGAGGGAGCAGCAGAGGACTCTAGATTTATGGAAAGAGAGGACCTGAGTGCTGGCAGCCAGGAGGTAGGCTTGCAGAATGTGCGCTTTGAATGTTTACATTATTATATATTCCTGAATGTTTCTGTGTACAACTCCTCACCCTCACTCCCCCGAATAAAGTAAGAGTTGACAATCCTAAATTCATATCCTAACATGACACTTACTCGATGTGTAACATTGGAAAACTCAGTTTACCTCTCTAATTCTCAGAATTTTCCCTACAAAGATTTTATCTCAAAATGTTACCATCAAAGTAGTGTCACCAATACTGAGGACTGAGGGCTGACTTTTTCACTAAGATTTCCCTGTGAGACTAGCACGGGGAATGCATCTGCACTGTTTTAACTTGATTCTTGGGCACAGAAGTTGTGAATCAGTTATGCAAGCCAGGCCAGTCAGCATCTCCTGAAAATCTGAAATTTGAATAGAAAGACATGGCACCTCGGGATAATGTGGTGGACTGCAAGGTCAGTTTGAACCACAAGGTTGGCAGCTCAAGCTTACCAGCCATTTCTCAGAAACCCTATACAGGGTCACTATCAGTTGGAACTGACTCAACAGTACATAACAACAACACAGCTGAGTCTAATGGCAACAAACTGGAAGGAAGACAACCAGCCAACCAGGTTCTTGCCCATCCTGAAGCTTAAGTAGTTAGCTCATTCTTTGCTTGTATATTCCCCATTGTAGTTCAAAAGATTGATTTTCTGTCTAAATGAGCCAGTGACGATTTATTATGCAACCAAGAAATCCTTAACTAAGATTGTTGCTGTTGTGGTTAAGTGCTGTTGAGCCAGTTGAGTCAGTTCCAATCCATGGCGACCCTGAATAGGGTTTCCAAGGAGTGGCTAGTGAGCTTGAACAGCCATCCTTGGGATTCAAATAGACTTTGCAGTCCAACACATTAACCCACAGTGCCACACCAGGGCTCCTAACACAGTAGGAGTTTTATAT